TTTCTTTTTAAACACCCGCGAATAGACACAAAACTACTTTTCACGGCATTCGACCACTTCCTCTTGGGAGGAACCCAACATTTCTGGATGCGCCCGGTAGTGAAAGCAAATCCGATGAAGTTATAACTTTGCATACCAAGCCTTGTCGACCGATCGTAAATAAGTTCAAATTGCGTAACACGTTTCCAAAAAAAACAAAAAAACAGTTGAATCAGGAAAAGGAACAAATTTGCACAGTGAAAGGAAACACTGTAATAATCGTAGTGTTTTTCAGTGCTCGCATAATTTGTGTCTTCATTCTAAAAATTCACCGGAGTTTCTCCGTTTAATTTTTTTTCGTATAAACAATTATTTTCAGACAGCTGGCAACTTGAAATATGTAGTATCGAAAGTATGATAAGGAATTTTCTTTAAGATAGTTTAGGATTGACAAGATACGACTTTTATTTAATGTTAAAGTGTGATTATTTGTACCAAGTGACGTTATTTCCTTTTGGTTAATTATGGAGATCTATAATCTTCATGTCAATCAATTAATAATGGAAAGGACATTGTACAAAGGACTTTGTAATATGTTTTCTATATACAAATTAAGTTCAATTTCACGTTTATTACTATAATGGAATGATAAAACGACAAAAATGAGATCCTTTAAAGCTTGTAAATATTTATTGAATGATATCAGTAATTTTGAAAGCTATTATTGTTCGTTAGGCGTTTTGGAGTAGAAGATTTTAGTAATTCAATACTTACTATATCTATGTATCTACTACATGTATCTTATATATATATATATATATATATATATATATATATTACTATATCTATATATCTGCTATACTAAATCTATCAACAGCATCTTTCTCTCTCTCTCTCTCTCTCTCTCTCTCTCTCTCTCTCTCTCTCGCTCTCTCTCTAGCTCTCTGATTCTCTTTCTCTGTTTTTCTGCTTCATCTGTTGTTTTTGGATTTTTATCTTTCACTCTCTCTCTCGCTCTCTGACTCTCTCTCTCTCTCTCTCTCTCTGTGTTTTTCTGCTTCATCTGTTTGTTTTTGGATTTTTCTCTTTCACTCTCCGTTGCTCAAGAATGATCTACTTCTTTCTTTCTCAATCACTCTTTTCACTCTCTCTCCCTAGCTATCTCAATTTTTTTAACATTAACTGCCGAAAATGTTTATAATGTTCATGTTATTAGGTTAGGAGCTTTATGATGCAGGTTGCCATTTTATTTTGCCAAACGTAACCCTTGCGTCTTTTACCGACATAATAACAATCACGTTGGGCAAGACCACGTTCAGCAAACTGCGCACATTCATTGATTATTAATACACGTTAATATGCATTAACACATGTGTCGCATATCGAGCATTGCTGGAGGTTGTTGCAAGGAAGCCCCCATCTGCAGAGCCTATTAGACCCATGCGGTCGCTGTGTTACACTTTCAGGCACGTAAAACCAATTTGGTATATCTAAGTTGGCCAGGCAAACCTCTGATACGTGTAGATATCTTAGATTTGCAGTTTCCTACTCGGGGAGACATGTAACGAATGTTGAACAACAGCTATTATCAAATTCCGCATGTTGACCTCAGTGAATTCGAACGGAATCATGTAATAGTAATAGGTTCATGATTCATTATAATGACCAGCATTTTATGCAAAAAAAATACAAACAATACGATCAAAATAATTCAAAAATATCTCATGAAAAATTACTAGGTAGAGTGATATATTTTAACATACTAAAAACACAGTAATTTCCTAATTTATTTTTATTTAAAACCTTTAACCGTCGACACAAAATAACAGAATTAAAATAAAGGACAGGTTAAAAACAATACCACTGGCCATAGAAAAATACAAAAATGAATTAAAAACAATAATAGCTTATACTATATAGTTGTGAAAACTGTACAGATGATAATTTAATATTTATCGCTCAGAAAATGACATTCAGAAATTTTTGCGCCCATTGTAGTTGTTCAAAATTCAGTGGCAATAAGTTAAATCTATTAAGCTCCTCTTTAGAAGTTCGCGTAAGCGCTTTATTTTCGGGTCACTCTTACCATTCATGTCAAGAGTTGTTTGTAACGCTTTCAACCTGATGATGAGCATTTAATGTTCGAAATCCGGATGACTGTAAACAACAAATTCTGTTAGTAAAACCATCATTTACAAAAAGTGAAAAAAGACAGTAACGTGTTGTTACAACGCACACAGCACATTCTTCTTCTACTTGGCGACGCCATCGCTCCACCCCATGATGGTCTTGAAATATAACATTATAATTAATTCGTCTTTTTAACATGTACTTAATCCTCTGCCTTTATATATCTGAGCGTTTTTTTGGTACCGACATGGATCAGAATATTCCGACTATTGCTCTCTGGCCGGGAATACCACAGGGCGGTGTGCTCGGATCAATTCCTCCGATATCCAGTATCTTTTAGACAGAAGATGTTCCCCTTACATTATTCAACCTCATTGTACCTTTTGCCGATTACATAGGTGGAGCTAATGTACAAATCCCTAACTCCGATCCAAAACCACCTTTCTTAATTACATCAGATTAGTGTAACAATGGAAAATGAAGATAAATAAAGACAAGTTCATCCATCTCACACTAACACTCCGAAAGTAAATCTCCTCTCACGATCTATCCCCAGTTCTGAATACGTTCGTTACCTTGAGTTCCAACTATACTCATGGCTATCATGGAATAAGCCTGGGCGACTGAAACTAAACTTATGTGACGACAATCTAATCGACTAAAAACATACCTACGATCTACAATTCGATATTTTCAATATAAAGCCGTTGAGATCCATCGTAAATGCTGCATATTATCCTCTCATCAATACTACCCTCCAGAACGCTTTTAAATAGTATTTAGTAAAAATTAATTATTCAAAAATGTATCAGGTTCGAAAGTAAACACTCCCACCATTCTAGACGAACATATTCAATCGTGGCGGAAATGGCCACGCGATTTCCTTTTTGAAGAAAATAAAATAGTACAAAACAGTAAATAGATCCATTATATTTAATGGCCTATTGACCAAATTACTTCTTTCAATTAATTAATCACGTTTTTCCGTAAGGTTTTGGTTGAAATGAAAAAGACAGTGCCACGAGCGGGATTCGAACGCACGACCTTCCGCTCAATACGCCGCTTTTCTAACCACTTGAGCTATCGTGACTTCTTTCCACTCGGACACCAACTCCCCATCTCAACCCCACCTTTTGAGTTTTCCCTCCTTTTTCCCATTTTTCAAATGTCGTGTAATCAGGATTTGATTCTAGGCGACATATGAAGCGGCTACGGAGATCTGCTAGAGAATATATATGTATTTCATTTTACTTATTAAATCTATTATATTTAGTCGTCCGATTGACCAAATAACTTCTCTCAATTAGTTAATCTTTTTATTGTAAGGTTTTATTATAATTATAACGTTCAATACTAACTATGTAGACATATTAATCAGAATTATATAATTAAATGATGAATTCGTAAAATCAATCAACATAAGGCAAGCATGACTCTTACTGGTTTTACCTTTCAAGAAAAAAATCAATAAAAAAAATTATATACAAGAATTTCAACAAAAAAAAGAATGCCTCAGTGAGAAAATATGTGATAAATATTGGGCTGATATAGTAAATACGTCGCCATAAAAAATCTAAATAAATAATATAGTGAATAATTGACAATTTAAAATTTAATAAGACTCAAGTTGTCAGGTAAAAATTGTACAAATGTAAAAATTAATAGAGAATAGTGTGTCATGACAAGAAGAACATTTTGATATTGTTTTGCAATCAAATGAAAATAATAACCATTGAGGACTTACAGATTTTGCATGAAATTTCCTATATAAATAGTTCAAGCATAAAAATATAGTATTATAAAACAAAATCTCGTTTAAAAAATCTATCTATTGCACTATTCATAAATAAAATGTATATAAAAAACAAACCTGAATTAAAATAGGAACGCAATGGTCTTATTCAAATATCGTGCAGTGGTACAGTATAAAACGGCCGTGTATTTCATTTTAGCAGCATTAAAATGACAAAACGGTTGCAATCACGATTTTCAGCTGGTAGGAAGTTTAGGGTGAAACGCAAAACACGCTTTAGGAAGACGGATACACGGAATGAGTCACGAGCAGGGCATGTTCTGGATTCCAAATGGCAATATACACAGTATTTTCACTTTCACCTATTTTGTTTGACAAATTGGTCAAGAACGGCACCATTCATTAGTTGTCGCGTGCAAATTTTCAGAAATTGCTGTTTCAACGGTTGAAACTTGACATCGACACAGACGACTGGATTTCAACGGAGGCGAAGGAATCTATTTTGATTTACGTATTGGGAAATCGACTGAGAGTTAGTGAAAGGTAACCTTGTAACGGAAATGTGACATTATTTTTTGTATAAGAATGTCCTAAATCATAAATAGTTTACGGTTAATAAATTTAAAATCATTCCATATGTTTCGAATGTTGTAATAGTTAAATCGTTCTCTATTTCATTTTGTAGTCTGTTTTTTTACATTTCTATCTAAAAAAGTTTGTAACGTTGTTGTAAAATTGTGTAAAATTTAATTAAACTAAATAAAACATATGTACAAGGCTTAACTATGCACCAACCTTAAATAGCAATAATAACGCGTGAAATTTTCTCGTTGTTTTTTTTTCTTGTGCATTTTTCAGCCTGGATCTTGGTAATGACTCTCTGCTTTTGTTTGAAAACTAATTTGTTGTCTTAAAATGCTAGCCTCTAATTTATGACTCAATTTATCAACTATAGAATGGACTCTCTCTCTCTCTCTCTCTCTCTATATATATATATATATATATATATATAGTAACCTGCGTAATCGTTTCAAGGAGTATACAATTAAATTTTGTTTTTAATAGGTGGCAAATACTTTATATATACTTAATAGGTTATTGAGAAAAAGGGGAAATTGATAATACTTAAGACTCAAAATTAAATATTTACAATTTATTTACACACAGAAAAATTAAATGAAATTTCCTCAATTATATTCAAAATTCCTAATCATCCTTAGTGGCCAGGGTTTTACCAAAAAAAAAATAAATAAATAAAAATAAAGTAAAATTATAAAAAGAAAAAAGGTACTTTGCTGGATGACGACTCGCTTTTCCAAACATCCAAAATAAACGATGTTGAGCTGGAGGTTACTGGTGGGTTCGACGCCGACAGAAGGTGCCTGCAGTGCCGGATGACAATACAGTTGACGTGATGGTCCGTGAAGTCGGTGATGTGACGACACGGTGACGATGACGAAATCGATGGTGAATTCGATCCAAATCGATTTTAGGTTCGATAATCGATTGTGTAGGCGGTGCGTCTTGTACGATGCCGACCCAAGGAAGCGAGCGACTGACTTGCTCCCGACGGCTCACAGGGCCTCCGGAGGCGAACCTTGATCATCAGAAACAACAAATAAAAATTAAGCTTCTTGGGCATATATATGGAAATGCAATTTAATGATATATATTACAATTAATGATACACATAACAATGCCTTGGTCCGTCAGCTCAGCTCCGCTGACCACGACTTGAGGTCTTACGGAGTGACAAAGAAAATGGAAAAAGTGGTCATTAGTATTTCTTCTAAAGGAGGCTTACCACTGGATGATTTCTCCTCACATGTTTTTCATGACAATTTTGTTCTTACAGCATTCAAATTTGCCCGTGAGTTAGTCTTGCAACGACTGCCTCTGCGATATCCGCTTGCCCGTGACCTCGATGACTCGTTCTCTCACTAATTTGCGAACTTCTGGTTCAAGATGATGTCCTTCCATGCTTAAGGAGAATGCAACTGGATTAAAATGGAAAAAAGACAAGAAAAGGTGTTTGCTTACAAAATGAGTATTCTTCATGTTTTCTGTTCTTAAGTAAATCCGTTATTAAAAATGGGGATTAACATTTGTTTGTTTTTGGTTTATATTTTCGATTTTGTTTTATCCAATTAACAAGAATATGTCGGTAATTTAATTAAAATTAATAGAATAAAAATAAATTACAAATATCTATATTTATTTTTCAGCAGTTTATATCTTAAGTATCCAACATTTGCAACAAAAATCTTTGCACAGAAATCTCACGGAAGAAACTTATTGTACTAGCTTAATTACTAAAGAACTCTCTAAGCTCCGTGAACTTGAACTGAAAACCGCTCTTCGCTTTGTGAGAGTTAAATGGCTTGGCAGGACTTGGACAATTTTGCTAGCCAGATCCTTTGGGAAACTATTTTCTGCAACTGATTCTTCTCGATATTTTCAGTTCAAATAAATTTCGTCATGAAGAAACTGTAAAGATTAAATTAATTCAATGAAACCTGAAAACAAATCAATCAATCAAAATGCTTTTTTTCGGGGGATCTGAAAATGTGACTGAACTTTTAAATTTTTTTAGTGTTGAATTTTAAACAAACTTAGCCAGATTCGATTTAAAACAAAAATATGATCATAAATGATACCTGGACCCAACGAAAAGAAAATTTTTCGAATAGGAGTTTCAAAAACAGATTTATAATACTATGGATTCTCCTAATATGTGTATATGTTTAAAAAACCACACATACACACACATTTTTGTGGTTAATAAACTCAGGTAACCCCGTCTTTTTTGAAGGAAATGAGATTTTTCGATTTGATGCTTTTTCAAACTTGCTCTAGTATTTCGACCTATGACAACATGGAGGATTGCATGGTATATTTGTTTCGTCACGCCGAGATGAATTTTATGGACGCCGAATTATGAAAAATTTTATATGTTTTTTCCAATTTCAACTGGAACTGTTTCATTGAGGAAGACTCTAATAAATTTAAAGATGAGTATTTTCGTCAATGAGTATTATGTCAGAAGAAGATTGCCCGTTGAGAAATATTAGGGCACTGTGTCATGCTAGACAACCGGTTCGTGAATTCCGTCATCATCGGATATGGATTTGGTCTAACCGTTCTTTTATTTGACATTCACAATTTGGAGAAATGCTATTTTTCCATTTTCCAATTCCACTGTTTTGTAAAAACTTTTTATAAATCTAATACAAAGTAGCTGAGATGGCTTTTTCTTATGCAAAAAGTATTTCAATTTTATTTCCGACTTAGCGATTTACAATGTGAGGATATTTCTTTCAAACTGCATCTATAGCGCAGGCAATTGGTTACTTATGTATGCAGAGGTAGTTACGTAAAAGACGATAGTTTCTTCCTCCGCCGGCCCTTTTGTGTTTGAATAAGTTACCGTTGCGAAAATATTGCCTTAAAACGAGCTAAATAATGGAAATTTATTCCGAGTGAACTAGTTCCTTTTTTGCACTTTCTTTTGGTATAAAATAAACAATTTCTTTTACTTATAAAAGAAACTGGAAGTATGATTATTTAAAAAAAAAACTTTTTCACATTTCTAATATAAATTCATGGTAACAGCAAATAATTAACAACAATTTTCAAAATGTTTTGGCAATCCATTGGAAGGATTATACCCGTACCATTCATTTTACGAGGGTGCAAAGTTTGGAATGAAATGACCGCCAGCAGTTAGTTGATTTTTTCTTCATCTACATCAAAATTTTGCCAACCAATCAATTTAAATAGACAACCTGAGGAAGTTGTCATCTGATAACGTAAAGCAAATCGATCGAATTGAACGTTAATGAACTGACACGAAACTCATGATCAAAATGGATTTCCTGGAAAAATTGAACGCCCCCAACGACACCGTTTTTTCAACAAAACGAAAATTGTTTGCCCTTCCAGAAGCGCAATCCAAAAAGGTGGGTGTATCGCTGGAAGCTAATTGAATGGACAGTTTTGGGGGAATTTGCAAAGCTCGAGCAGTTTGAAGTTGTAAACAGTTACCAATCCAACATTTTAAAAAGATTCCAAATTTCAACGTTTTTGTTTTTTCTAAATTTTCTCATCAATTCTGCATTGTAAATAGGGTTCCTTACAGCAAATTCAACGTTCTTTCAGTGGCACAAACGGATTTTTCTACAGTCAGTAGTTCTGAAGTTTATAAGCAATTTAGTGTACCTAAGTCGAAAAATTAAAAAAAAAACCAATACCTGAAATTACTTCTTTACCGTTGAGATTTGGACAGGGGTTTATAAGAAGTTTTTTGTTGTGGATGGGGAGTAGAAACACCTCCTGAAATTTTCGACACTTATCGCCCTGTATATATTTATTTTTTGAGAAAAAATTCTTACCTTTTCCGCCAAAACTCCACTAGATTTACCGTAAGTCTAACCGCTGTAATGACTTGGATAAAGTCCGAAGGTGTTATGCTTTTTGACTGGAACACCGAACTTCAGAACAAAAAAATATATATTTTCATATGTTCTAATTGCGATGAAAATGCGTATTTAAGACTTTTATGTAGGATACTGTGATTTTTGTAATTGTTTATATCCAGTCATTTAACATAATCAATCACATTATTTTCGTATCCTACGATAAAAAAAAACATATCAACTGATGTATAATAATGGCGAAATACATCTGTAACAATGACATTAACCCTTGTTAGAAAAAGACTTTAAAATTACCCAAAATATGTTTTTGACGATACTTCTAGGACCCAGTCACAAGAACGCTTAGACAGAATATTTTTCTGAAACACCAAAAATGGTTTAATAAAAATTGGTAATCCTCTAGCTTTGTTATATGTATAATAAAATTGTATATTGATTAAACTTTATAATTTACGTGTGGTGATTAGTGACCGTTAATCGATAATTATTCAGAAATCGTGAGATGCGGTCTGGTGTGATGTAGGTTTCAGAAAACATTTTCTTTACCGTGCCAACGTTTCGATCTTTATTGAGATCATCTTCAGGGCCTGGGATTTACAAACATTGTTTACAAATACATTTAGGATGTGGAAAAGAGAATTTATGCAATGCAAAATATATATTTTTTTTATATTCAATCAAAGTATTTCTACTCACTCAAAGTGTTGTTTTCTGTGTAATTGTGCCATTCTTGCGTGGCGTGTTGAGAGTGCCAGTGAGATTTTGCTGTTTTATGTTTATATACTTTGGATTTTGAAGGGGTGGGGAAGGAAGTCGGTATAGAAAGACATTTTTGTATAAGGCGTCGGCTTTTTTGAGGTGAAAAGAGCCGACGAAGGAAAACAATGTGTTGGTAATGGTTCGGCCAGATTTTTTTTTAGGATTATGTAGAAAGGAATAAATAGGAAAAGGAAAGCTAAATTGTATATACAAACACAAAGATACACAAACAGCTCCTCCATAACAATCTCTACCCTAAACACATTATTAACAGAATAATCAACAACTACAACTCAACACTAACACCATCCACTATTACTAACAATACTACATTAAATCTATCAAATACAAACAAACCAGCATACATTTCCATACCATTCATTCAAGGCCTATCACATAAATTAAACACATTTCTCTCGTCCGATAACTTCAAAATAGCTTCCAAAAATTATAAAACAATCCAAACACTTTTTGCCAAAATTAAAGATCTCACACCAATAACAAATAAATCTGAAGTAATCTACAAGATCAACTATTTAAACTGTCCGGCAACTTACATCGGCCTTACATCCCAATATCTGGACAAGAGAGTAAAGCAACATATCTATGATTGCAAAAAACCCAAGCAAAAGCACTCGCTACCCACCATTTCGAACACCAACACAATTTCGACTTCAAAAATCCAAAAATATTACATACAGAACAAAACAAATATAAACGTAATTTCTTAGAAATGGTTTATATCAACAGAGATAAACACAGCATTAATTACAGAACAAAACAAACCTAAACGTAATTTCTTAGAAATGGTTTATATCAACAGAGATAAACACAGCATCAATTACAGAACAGATACATGCAAACTCAGTCGCAGCTACGCCAATATCATTAATCAAATGCAATATAGATAACATACACATATCATTACATTACGTTCCACACATCTAATATTTTTTACATAGTCTAATTGTCCAACAATTTAGCTTTCCTTTTCCTATTTATCCCTTTCTATATAATCCTGAAAGGATAATCTGGCCGAACCATTACCAACGTTTTTTCCCATTGGCGGCTCTTTTCACCTCAAAAGAAGCTGACGCCTTATACAAAAATGTCTTTTCTATACCGACTTCCTTCCCCACCTCTTGAAAATCCAACGTATATAAACATAAAACAGCAAAATCTCACTGGCACTCTCGACACGACACGCAAGAATGGCACAATTACACGGAAGACAAACACTTTGACTGAGTAGAAATACTTTTATTGAATATAAAAAATATATTTTGCATTGTATAAATTCAGTTTTCCACATCCTAAATGTATTTGTTAAATGTATTTGTTAAATGTAAACAATGTTTGTAAATCCCAGGCCCTGAAGATGATCTCAATAAAGATCGAACGTTGGCACGATAAAGAAAATGTTTTTCTGAAACCTACATCACACCAGACCGCATCTCACGATTTCAGAATAATTTACAATTTACACTCTTGTATATTCAAAAAAGTTATTGAACAAAATAAGTACATTTATCTTTTCTTACTTGAAGTTACTTAAAATTGTACTATTTTACTATCACAACATTCTATTGTTTTGTAATATTTAATGTTTTCAATTTTACTTGTAATAACAAAATGTAATTTGAAATAAAAATCTTAAAGTACGACATTTTCATTTATACAGTATAACTTT